TATTGATTCATGCATGCTATCATTTTTGTTAGTGGACCAATGGTTTAATGCATTGGTTTAATGTAAGAAGTGGGACTCTTATATATATAATAATGGTTTGTATTATTATATATAATATAAAATAAACATAATGTAATAATAATACAAGCCACTATTATATATATATGATTCTATATTATAATATAATGGCTTAATATAAGAATTGCAAATCTTAGAATTTCTGGTTGGACACATTTGTTATTTGACCAAACCAGAATTTTCCCTTTTTATCAAACCAACAGTTACTAGATTTCCAATATTGATTTTCCCTTTCTGGGGCCAACTGTTGGCCATTTCTAGTCAATTTTCTAGATTGTCATTTTGAGGAGCACCCCTTTGGACTATGACAGAGGTTTGGCCACTGGTTCCTTTGAAAGCAGCATTTTTGGCAGAAATATCAGTGAATGGATTTCCTTTAGCCTCTAGAGAGTCAAGCTAGGAATGCCAGGGATCTTAATGCCAATGCAGCTGGCAAGAGTATGGCATCTGAAGAATTTTGGATAATAGAGCCATTTTTAATATTTTCCCCACTAGAGGTAAGAAAACCTCACCGTTTTCATAACATCTCAAACTCATGGGCTACCCCAGTTGCATAATGGATATTGGTATAAATGTTTGAAGTTTTGCCTTTGGCTAAAGTACAAGCCTGAGTGAGAGTGTGTGATTCAGCCTGTTGAGTGGAAGTAGCCAAAGGTAAGGGTGCTGTCTCAGCGACTTTGGGAGGTGTGATAGCATACCGAGCATGATGTTTACCATGGCCATCCTTTAATTATGAACCACCAGTAAACCATGAGAAGTCTACATTGGTTAGAGGAGATTATCACAGGGAGTCAAAAGGTGATCTGTCAGTGTTGAACAATCATGAGGGAGTTCGTCAGTGAAGGAGAGGAGAAAAAAAGCAGGGTTGAGGTTATTATGACCTGAAAGAGTTATGTGAAGAGCAATCAGCAAAAGGATTTCATAGGAGGTGAGGCAACTGCCTGAAAAGTGTTGAGTGTGATGGAAATTCAGGAGGGCTTCTACTGCAGGGGGTACAAAGGTGGATAATGGAGAATCCCATGTTGATTTCTTTGGTGATTTCTTCGTAACCAGAAGGGCAGTCACAGGAGCGGTTCTGAGGCAAGGAGGGTATTCCAGTGCCACAGGGTCCAGATGTTGGCTATGATACCCTATGGGTCAATGATGGTTCCTGTGTTTTCGGGTGAGTCCTCCAAGGACATTTCCTTTCTTCTCAAATAGAGAGGAGAGAAGGAATCTGATAAGTAGGATGTCCAAGGGCGGGGATCTCATTAAGCCCTTCTTTAAGGCTCCAAAAACTATGTCATCCTGACCTCCCCAAACAATGGGGTCAAGTTTGCTGTTTTTTAATGAAGCATATAGGGGCTGGGCCTTAAAGAAAGAATTTTGGAGTCCAGTTTTGACAGTAGCCAGCTAGCCTGAGAAAACCTCGTAGTTGGTGCTTAGTTTTAGGTTTGGGGAAGTTCAGGATCCCATGAAGCCTACCTGGATCTACATGTAGTCCTTGTTCTGAGATCAGGTGCCCTAAATATTGAACCTGAATTTGAGCAAACTGCAATTTTTCTTTGGAGACTTTACAAGACCAAAAGTTTTGACAGGTGGGTGCTATCTTCCTGCGAAGAGGTTTGAGAATGGCAACATAGGAGCAAATCTCCCATATATTTTGAAAAAAAAAAGTAGAGCCTGAAGAAAATTTTACATCATCCAAATCAGATTTTAAGATTTGTGAAAATTAAGAGGGACTTTCTGTGAAGTCCCGGGGCACTACTGTCGAGGTGTATTGCTGTCCTTCCCATGTGAAGGCAAAAAGATATTGGCCTGCCTTGTAAGCTGGAATGCTGAAGAATGCACTGCATAGATCAGTTATGGTGAAACTTCTGCTTTCAGTGGCGATGAATGTTAGTAGTGTTGATAAGTTAGAAACAACAGGGTGACAAGAAATAATAATGTTGCTCATTGCTTGAGGGACCTAGACAAACCTACCTCCTCAACCCTTGGGTTTTCTCAAAAGTAGAATAAAAGTGTTACAGGAACTAGCATAAAGGATAATGAAGCCCATTATAATGACTTGTAATCTTCTATTAGGTTTATACCTTGAAGGGCTTCTTCACTTACAGAGTATTGATTAATTCTAGGGAGAGGTTTTGAGAGGTCTGTTTGGATCTCAATGGAAGATGCACTGTGGATTTTGCCAACATCAGTTGGAGATTTTGCCCATAAGGATGGTGGTAGCTGAATTAATAGGGACAAATGATCATTGTCTCCAGAATCAGCTCCAGTATCATCAGAGATGGGGCAAATAAAAAATGCTGAAGGATTATCTAATTAACTTATTGGCTATTTTGATTGCTACTCTCAAATTCTAGAATTATTTCCCCCTTTCTGGAGAAAGAAATTCTGGCATAATACTTTTCTAAGACGTTTCAGCCTGATAAATAAGTAAGGGCTGAGGAACTAATGAGAAAAGGGTGTGTCTCTCTCAAGGGGCCTAAACAAAAGGGAAAAGGTTCATTCTTGAGGTTCATTAGAGACTCCCGATATTAGAACTGTTTCAGTACTCTGAGGCAGGGGCTGCTTTAGAGCAGAGGAGTTGAACATCCAGACTATGTCTCCAGTGTCAATAAGGGACAGACAGAGGTTCATTCCCAATCTGGAGAGTTGTTTCTCTGAGCAGATTAAGACAGACTATTGGAAAGAGCCGCTGTAATTCTTGGGAATTAGAAGGACATTGGAAAGCCTGGTAAGGGGACTGAAGATGCCTGGAAGCTTAACTTTATAACAGTCTCATTTCTAGTGTCCTGGCTTTTTGCAAAAATAGAGAAATTAGGTTTTTGGTTTTTGAAGTCCTTCATTTGCTATAGTTAAAAATTAAGACTTTTGGTGTTCTTTCTTTTAGGTGACTCATCTAGGGTGCAAGCAAGCTGATTTGCTGAATTAACTACATCTGGAGTGGACATAATTTCCCATTCCACCCTGGTCCTTTTAACTAAAAGAGAAAGATCCCAGTTCAGCCCATTAATAAACATAGAGTTAAAGGCTACCCAGAGGATTCAACATCTGAAAAAGACCAGAATTTTCTTTGAAAACAATCTGAAGTTGATTATAGTAGTTATGAACAGGTACATCAGATTTTTGTGTGCAAGCCTAAATTTTGTTCTGGTCATTGAGTGTAGAAAAAGCTACTGCAATTGATCTGTGGAGGACTCTAGTGAGTGCTCTAGGCTCTTGACAAAAGTTAGGGGTTTGTTTTTCCTAAATCCTTTTCAAAGGATGTTCCCATCGGGTTAGCTTGTTTCATCCAATACTTGGTTTGATCCTTACCAACAAGCATGTGGACTAACTGATACAGATCTAGATAGCCAGGCTTGTTTTGAGATAGGCTGGGACCTGGCACTCTTTACCAGGAGTGTTTGCATCCGGACAAATGGCTCCTCGAGCAACAGAATACAAAGAAATTACAAGGCACTAAAAATATCTACAACACATGTTCAGTTGGGGCAACTATGAACAATAAGATACAAAAAGGCCACAAACCAGCTGCCATTTCGGAAGTGCCAGCAAAAGCAAGGTACTGGGCATGATCCCATCACACAGCACCTCCATGGGCATGTGCAGAACACCTAAGCTATGCCTCCTCCCCAAACCACTGATCTGCCCCCACCCTCTCCCTGTTTAAGGACTGGGCTTGTTTCCTCCTCCACTCAGCTCAGGGAGTGATTAAGAGCATCTGTTTCTTATTTTCACTTCCTCCTGCTGCGGCAGTCCCAGTAAAGTCATGCTTGAATTTCTTTATTTTTTTAATAATATTCTTTTTAAATTAATTGATTGATTGATTGATTGTGGGGGAGAGGGTAATTATGTTCATTTATTTATTTATTTACCTTTTTAATGGAAGTACTGGGGATTAAACCCCAGACCTTGTGCTTACTAAGCATTCACTCTACCACTGAGCTATAACCTGCCTCCCATGCCTGAATTTCTTGTCCAGCCTTTTATCAATTTCTATTGATTAAAAATTCTGAGAACCTGGGTCTGGAATAGGTTGAACTCCTATGTGAAATTCCCCAGCAAACCTATGGGAACCCTCAGTTACTTTCGGGAACTCTTGCAATTCATATGGTTTGCAATTCAGCCTCAGTCCAGGGAACCTCAGAAACTTGTGTTTTCTTTGGGTCCTTGGAAGATTTCACTTTAAAAGGGCAGATTCTGATTGGTTTGGGGTGAGCGGGCGAGAGCGATTTAGGGAAAAAGGGAAGTTTGGCCAGAGAATTAGGATGGGGAAGCAAAGGTTATAGAGGAAGTGGAGGCAGCGCAAAGAGAAAGAGGAAGATGGCAACAAACGTGGAGCCTTAGCACGAGACGGGTGCTGCGACACAGAAAAGTTGAAGGCGAGGAAGGAGAGCCTCAGGGCCTTGTTGTCTCTCTTTGTTTGCTTCAGTTAACTTAAAAATTGCGTTTTGCAGAGAGGCCATTTTTGACTCCTGATAATGTTCGGAAGCCTCAAAATATCAATCAAAATAGGCATCCCATTCAATTTGGACAATTTTAGAGCCATGGCTGTCCAATATTAAGAAAATTAAGTTTAGGGAGTTCAAAAGTTCCCCAAAATGGCCATCAGTGTTCTAGATTATTTTGGGGTTAAGTCAGTCCATTTAGTTAGAAATGGGCATGAGTAGAGACTGATTGGGGAGTGGGGGGTAATTTGGTTGGTTTGTTTGTTTGTTTTTAGAGGAGATACTTGGAATTGAACCCAGGACCTTGAATATGCTAAGCATATGCTCTACAACTTGAGCTACACCCTCCCCAGGATTGTGATTTTTAAACATAAAGTTGACTGGGATCCCTAAAGGGGAGTGGAGGGGAACCCTCAAAACATTTAGATGACTGTAATCCCATTTCTTAGAGGTTTTTCTTTAGAGCAAAGGGAAGAAAAATCTTAAACAGCACAGTTCCCATAGAAACACCCAGGTGCCAAAAGGAACCAGACTGAGGACTAGTACAGTTTCAGTAGAAACAGCCTGGTTTCAAAAGTCAGGCCAAAGTGCCAAATGGGTAATCACAGAAAGGACAAAGCCTTAAAAAAAAAAAAAAAAAAAGCAGGTCCTGAATAAAGTCTGGAGACTTTAAAAATGCAAAAAAAAAAAGCAGATTTTAAATCCAGGAGAAAATTTACCCTCAAACTTGGGAAGAAAGGACTGGGCTCAGTGGGCTCTGTGGGTACCAGCACCTGTTTGCTTACCATCCTCAGTCTTTCTGGACCCCACTTCTCAGACATCAAGTAAAATTTACCTAAAACAATTAAACAATCAGTTATTTTACCGAAAAAAAAAAAAAGAAGAAGAAGAAGGAGGGGTACTCGGGAAAACAATTGCAATTTGGGATATGCAAATTATAGTGAACCACAGACAAGCCTGGAGAACGTAGGAGAGAAATGTTCTCTTATAGAGGAGAAGGGGGAGTTGGGAGGGGCTGTTGTAAACAAAGAGTCCACTGGAGGAAACTGGGAGTTCAGAGTGTAGTGGCTTTTCATTGGCTGAGTTGTGACAGTCTCTAACTGGCTGGTCTGTTGCCGGGCAGGGAGGAATCCTTCCTTCCTCCTGCAGAGTAGCAAAGTAGTCATCTTCTTCCTGTTGGAGGTGCAAAAGTACCACCTCTGTCTGTTGCAGAATTGACACTGAGAGGTAGGTCATAGGAGTTCACCCTTCTGGCCTCCCCACCCCATTTTAAATGAGGTTTCTGTTTATTCGTTTTCATGTTTCCCCGCTTTGATCAAAAGCTTTCTCTGAAAGCTGATCCAGAGTCAGGTTTGTTTTCCCAGGTCAGTGAGCTCAGCAGGCATGTATTCTCTCATCAGGAACACTTCCTGACTGGGGGCTGCCCCACCAGCTGGGTTTTTGGTTGCTGTGATTTGCTGTCCTTGGTATTAGGGGTCTGACAGCACAGGGTGCTTCATCCATTTCACCGTCAATCACCTTAACATCCTCCCCTTCAGTCCCCTCACTTTCCCAGGGGTCCCACCTCTTAGTGGCTTTATCGCAGGTGCTCC